GCGACATTGTACTATTGTGTCAAGCTCAAGCCTATCCGGTGCCGTTATTTAGGTAATCAGTTAAAATGATTACAATGCTTAAAAGCTTTTAATCCAGTACTGTATTATAGACTTATGTAAAAGCTTAACATACTTTTGACAGTGAATACAAATCTTAATTTTCTACTACAATATCCACTTACCTTAAAATTTCACTTCAAAGCTTTTCTTGAAATTTATTTTAGGGAAGGGGCGATATTGCTAGCAACTGGTTCTGTAAAATGTTATGAATAATAGACTTGGAAAGTAAATCACATCGTCTAATATTTCAAAGGGAAAATGCCCAGTTTCTTCTTAATAATTTTCCACTTTCTTTTTTATCAATTTTCTTTACACATTCAGGCAGTGAAAAGGCTTTAGAGAGCTTTTTATTCTATCTCACTCATTCTCACTTAATTTTGTTCTATATGAAAAATATATTTCTTTCTTCTTAAGAACCATTGGGCGCCAAAGCTCCAGCATTTGCCACCGCCTCTAAGGGCAGCATTTATTGGCAGGCCCACGGAGAGGATTTTGTACTATTATGTCCAGCTCAAGCATATCCGGTGCCAGTTTTTAGGTAATTTTTCAAAATTCAATTTGTTTAAAAACGGCAAAGTCTATGTTTCAGGCAGTTTTCAAATTTTCGTATAAATATTTAAGAATATAATTAAAATTATTGATGAATTTACAGAACCCTTGGGTGCCAAAGCTCCTGCTTTTCCATCTACACTGAAGAGTAGCACATTTTGGGAGGAGCAGGGCAGAGATTTGGTATTACTATGTCAGGCTCAGGCTTATCCGGTGCCAATATTTAGGTAATATACTTTTTGAAGAATTCATAAACCAAAAAGCTTTGCGATGATCCTTTTTAAGATGGGCTATGTAATAGCTTTATATAGAGGCTTTATAGCTTGTTTGCATACATTATAATTTATTTGGAGGAGGACGCGGTTCATCGAAAAACTTTAACATGGAAATACTAAACATTTCTCAGGTATATTTGGCTTATGGGTAGCAATCTTGTAGCAAAAGTTTCCACATACAGAAATTAGTGGCATAATTTCATTTGACAAATAACATTTTTGGAGGTAAATTCGGCAACTACACTAGCAACTGGTTCAAAAGTTTTAAAGCTTTTGGATATTCATATTTACAATTTGTTCTTAATTTTTAGAACCCCTGGGTGCTAAAGCACCTACCCTGCCCAGTGATGTTTCAAGTTTTACCATAACTCGCCAATATGCCTCCAGCTTTGCCTTGTTATGCCAGGCCCAGGCTTATCCAGTGCCGATTATAAGGTAAAGCTTTTAAGATATAAAAACAAAAGCTTTAACTATTTATTTTGAGGTAAAGCTTTTACGAAATAAAAAAGCTTTAATTGAAATTTTAGTTTTTGGGCTACACTGTCAATGGGTTCTTTCAGGTATATTTGTCTCACATATTAAACGAAATTGTATCATTTGCTTTCTTTTAGAACCAATGGGCTCAAAAGCTCCCACATTTTCCTCAGATTTGGCTAGTTCAACAATTATACGTCATTACGGGCAAAGTTTTGCTTTATTGTGTCAAGCTCAGGCATATCCGGTACCTATTATAAGGTAAACGTTTATTCCAAAATAAGCTTTAAATAGAAGCTTATTTTTTTGAGAAATTTTAAAATTTTACTGTTTTAGGTATTTTTTACGTTTCAGTATTACTTACTAATATATAAAGCTTTAGGTCTTTAAGCTCTATAGTATTCAGAACCCCACCAACTGGTTTCCTAGGAATTTGTATATATTATGCCAAACTCAAATAGTTATTTTATTCATAAAACAAAGTTCATTTAATTTCAAGTTGCTTACTTTTTCTTAATATGAAGCTTTTAGATTAATTAATAAAGCTTTGAATACAGTACCATCTGGTTCAGTAGGGTTGGAAATAAGAAGAGTTTCCCAATTGTATATTTTTGTAAAATAAAGTTGTTTCTATATGAAAGCTTTACACAAATTGGCTACACTACCCACTGGTTCTTTGAGGAGAGTTAATTTGTATGTTACTTTATCAATTATTCAATCTTGCATAATTTAATTTCCAGAACCTGTCGGCTCAAAAGCTCCGACCTTTTCAACCGATTTGACAAGTTTCGCATTTGTACGCCATTTTGGTCAAAGCTTTGCCCTTTTGTGTCAAGCTCAAGCATATCCAGTACCAATTATAAGGTAAACGTTAAACAAATTAAATTAAAAGAGAAGAGCTTTTAGGACTAGTTGTCAAGCTCAAGCATATCTAGTATAGATCATAAGGAAAACGTTTTTAATAGAAATAAGTAAATAAAAGCTTTAATGATTTATTTATGAATTTAAATACTTAAAGCTCTTTAAAAGCTTTATTCGAGACCCAATATTTCAGGCAGAGGTCGATCGGATCTTAATTATTTATTAAACATTATTTCTAGAACCTGTTGGCGCAAAAGCTCCCACATTTTCGGGTGAATCAAAAAGTTTTACTTTTGTCAAAGAGATTGGTCAAAGTTTTGCATTGTTGTGTCAGGCGCAAGCTTTCCCAGTGCCAATTATAAGGTTGGTGTAAAAATGCCGGTATAAAGTCAGAATAAAAATTCAGGCAGTTTTCAGTAATATAATATTCACCATGTCATTGTCCTGTTTATTTTTTAATAAATATAAAAAGCTTTTACTGGACTTGGTAAAAGTCATTAAACATACATTAAATTTTTGTTTTAGAACCCATGGGCAGTGTTGGTCCCAAAATAACTGGTGGCCGTTTACAGGAAATGACCAGGAATTCCGGTGATAGCATGGCCATTGTTTGTATGGGCCAGGCTTATCCAACACCGGTTTTCAGGTATAAAATTATAAAAAAAATAGTTTTATTTTTTATAAAATATATATATATATATATATAATCCACATTCAGGCAGTTTACTCAGAAATTTTAAATATTAAATAGAATATATTAAAAACATATTTTTGTAATGATTCCAGAACCCATTGGCAGTGTGGGTCCCCGCGTATCCGGTGATCGTTTGCAAGAACATACCATGGCATCGGGTGATAGTTTTGCCATTTTATGTCAAGCTCAAGCCTATCCAATGCCAGCATTTAGGTATTGTAGACTTTACGATTTTTTTCGTTAGGGGAAAATATGAAAGCTTTTTGGGCAGTTTTCAATATTCGGAATATCCTGAGTTAATTTTCATGTTATTCATAAAATTGTTAAACTTTTTATAGAACCTGTGGGCCATGTCAAGCCCCGAGTTGCTTCGAAAAGTATTGAAATCAATGACGTGCCCTTGGGTGAGACATTTGTGGGCCATTGCCCGGGACAAGCTTTTCCAGTGCCGGTGTATAGGTATAATTACAATAATTTTGATTGAGAGATAACTTGTTCCAGACTTTGGATAATTTTTGAGGTTACACATATAAATTTGTTTCCACTGAGCTAAAATTTAATCAATCTGTAAAGCTTTAACGATCTTATAAATAAATGCATATCACATTAATAATACCTGCAATAAAGCTTTCAAGCTTTAGTGACCATTATAAAGTTTTTTTTTGAAATTTTTACTTAACAATATATTTCATGACGATTACAATGAAAAATTGTATATATAGAGCTTTCAAGATTTTTTTAAAATATTTAAAACATAAAAACCCAAACATTTGATAGCTCTTAAAAGCGAAATAAAGCAAAATCGGCAACCCATTTACAATAATAGAAACCAGCCACAGAGCTTTCAAGCTTTATTATAATGTAAAGCCTTAAAACCATCGGAGTGTAGCTGAAAACTTCTTACATATTAAATAATTTTAGTATTCCATTAATGGCCAAAGAGCTTTAAAGCTTTTATTCAATTACATAATGGGATTGAGGAACATTTTGAATAGTGAAACAAATATTACGTCGTCATAAATGTTTATTTAAAAATAAACATAAAAATACCCTAAAGCTTTCTTTAATAAACAATAAAGCTTTGATGAAAGTTTTAACATACACAAATAAAAAGTTTTGTAATTAAAGGTATCGTTTGAAGAAACTAATAGCTTCTAAAAACATGTATTAATTTAAACCCACCGACTATTGCAGCTTTTGAAAAAATTATTCAGAATATCCCCAAAGCGCAAAGGCCTTAATAATTCAAAAAGGTTTTTAAGAAAGTTTTACATACCTAAAATATCATCTAGTATTAATAAAAGCATCGATATTGCATACTTAAAGGGTCCATCGAATTTTAGAAATTTTAAAAAGAGGATTTCCTTTAGTTCTGCCGACTTTTGGAGCTTTTGAAAAATGTATTTTTTAATATACCTGAGGTTTCTCGAGATAGCTTTACTCCTAGCTTTCAATTTATAAAATTGCCTCTTAACATTTCGAATAAAAGCTTTATGGTGTATAAAAGAGCCATTTAGCCCATCGAAGCTTTTGGAGTTTTAGAAAATATGTAAATTTTATATTCTTTGGGTTTTTTGTTATAGCTGACGGATTTCATGAATCTGAATATGATTTAGGTTGTGTTGATGTTCCATTTTAGGTAGAGTTTCTCCATTAGGGTCTGTTAGGTCTCCTGAATTAATAAAAATATGATTTTGAAATATGAAAATGTTATGAAATGCTATAGAAATCGAATTTAAGCTTGCAGAAATTTTCAGGTAAGTATGAAGACCATTCACAATGTCAAATGAAAGTTCATGAAAGCTTTCATTCGTTATTGTGAAATCGGCCATAAAGCTTCAAAGCTTTTAATGGTAAGTATGCATCTGCTGCTTGGTATACGATTCCAATTGATTTTTTTATTTGTTTTGTTCATGCTTGAACTTCCAAGCTTTTCATGCCATTACATTTCAATGTGCTTTCAAAAGTTTGACAAAATTTTACACGCTAGCATTTCATATCCAAACATATTTCAAGATCATTTTTTGTACTCCAACTCTTGAAAACTAATATGAGAATTAATATTTTATTTTTCCCCCATTTTACAGATGGTATAAATTCATTGAAGGTACCACCCGCAAACAGGCTGTTGTATTGAATGATCGCGTCAAACAAGTATCGGGAACTTTGATTATCAAGGATGCTGTCGTCGATGATTCCGGAAAATATTTGTGTGTTGTTAATAACTCAGTGGGTGGTGAATCTGTTGAAACTGTCTTGACTGTTACCGCACCATTATCCGCCAAAATTGATCCTCCCACACAAACTGTTGATTTCGGACGTCCTGCTGTTTTCACCTGCCAGTACAGTGGTAATCCCATTAAGACAATTAGCTGGTTAAAGGATGGCAAAGCTATTGGTCACTCTGATCCCGTTCTACGCATTGAATCTGTCAAGAAAGAAGACAAAGGCATGTATCAATGTTTTGTACGCAATGACCAGGAATCGGCTGAGGCTAGTGCTGAATTGAAATTGGGTGGCCGTTTTGATCCTCCCGTCATTCGTCAAGCTTTCCAAGAAGAAACCATGGAACCTGGACCAAGTGTATTCTTGAAGTGTGTTGCCGGTGGTAATCCAACACCTGAAATCTCCTGGGAATTGGATGGCAAAAAGATTGCAAACAATGATCGTTATCAAGTTGGACAATATGTTACCGTAAATGGAGATGTTGTATCGTATTTGAATATTACTTCGGTCCAATCAAATGATGGTGGTCTCTATAAGTGTATGGCTAAGAGCAAGGTCGGCATTGCTGAACACTCGGCCAAATTGAATGTATACGGTTTACCCTATATTCGTCAAATGGAAAAGAAAGCTATTGTTGCTGGTGACACTTTGGTTGTGACATGCCCCGTTGCTGGTTATCCAATCGATTCGATTGTATGGGAAAGAGGTAAGTGGGCAACAAAAATAAAATTTTATTTTAAATTAAAAAGAACAACAGACGAGATAGGTTAAAATGATGATCAAAAAAAATATAAATTTTCTTCCATTTTTGCGGTTTATTAAAAGGAAAACCTTTGTCGCTTTTGGATTTCGATCGTAAAAAACTATCAGTATTTTATTCGGAACTTTTGCGGTGTCGTTATAACCGATCTCTATTGTATTATTAACATATTTTATTTACTAATCACATTTTTGTACCTTCTTTCCATCCCGCCAGACAACCGTGCCCTGCCAATTAATCGCAAACAAAAGGTATTCCCCAATGGCACCTTGATCATCGAAAATGTTGAACGTAACTCGGATCAGGCCACCTACACCTGTGTTGCCAAAAATGCTGAAGGTTATTCTGCTCGCGGCTCCCTCGAAGTTCAAGTTATGGGTAAGTTTTTCAATGTTTCAATTATCAGGTCACATTGCAATAGACAAATGTTGACCCACAAAATTTTTAAAACTGAAAATAAAATCTACTGGGGTCTCTTGGAAATAATGACATGAGAGATAATTGGGTTCGCAAGAAGTGTTGGGCGCCACAAATAGTGCACAATTTTTCTTGAAGAAATTAATAGAAAAAAAATCGAAGGAATAGAAAGAAGATATTTGGAAGACCTTTTATGCAAATATGGGCCCGGCGAAGTCCAGGACGTCTGAAGGTAATACTGTGTATTATTGTATGTGCTCGCCCATCACTGGTCTAATGTCAGTCCGCTTTTGTACAGGAAAAATAATTTGAGGAATTATATTTCAGTTTAATATCGGTAAAAACTATAAAGAGAACGAAACGCATTTAAATATGGCCTTTGAAGTCGAGAAAAATATTTCAGATACTAAATCTTCAACTGCAACGAAGTTCGAGGTCCTGTGGTTTATTAACTGAAATGTAATTTACTGTCGATAATAACCTTAAAAAGTCCGAGACACATAAAATACTGTCTTTGGAAGTAAAAAATATTGTGTTGAGAACTGAATCGAAATTCGACGTCCTGCGAGGTCCTAATAGCTGAAATATAATTCCATAAAATTGTCTTCCTGTAACCTCATCTCCACAAATCCCAATTCTCGCATGTGAATATTTTTCAAAGCCACCAGAACAGTTAGGGTCTCGATATAAAAAAAAAAAACAAATACCAAAAAGGGTAACGCCGTAAATCATCGTTGGTTATATTTCATTCCTCTGATATCTGCGTAAAAACTTTCACTTATAGGTTGTTTAAATATACGAAATTTATGTGCTACTATCAACTGAATATTGTTCTACGAAAATAATTTTTAATAAATGGGGGAAATTTGTTTATCTTTAAGAACTTATGTTTGTCATCATCAGCCAAAATAGACTGCAAAAAATGCTGATATTATTGCAGAATGGAAATTGTCGTTTTATATCACATATAAACGATTTATTTTAACAATTTTTATGAGATTTTAAATCGAATATTTTTATTACATTAAAATTTGCCAAATAATGTTTCCAATGCTGTCAGAAAATCGATATATTGTCCAAAAAGGAAATAACATTTTAATATGTTTTACGTTGAGCGCCATTTTCGGCAATCTGATTTCCCTTTTATATCAAACGATAATTTATAAATCATCTTCGAAATTTGATCGAATTTGGGAAATAAATCATCCATAACATACTATCGATTTTTATTTTCATCGCCAATTTTTCTAATAATTCAGCTAATTTTCTAAACTTCATTGACGTTCAAATCACATATTCAAAATTTTGATCGGTAAGCGAAATCCAGCCGATTTTCAATTAATTTCGGGTTTATTTCGTATATATTGACCAAATTTGTATTGATTTTATGCAATATGCTTAAATTAAAATTCCATTAGAGGAAGTTGGAAATTGTACATAAAAATCAGCGCATATATTCTTAAAGGACCTAGAAAAATGATCCGAACATCTCAAACTATTTGTTTTCCACACAACTAAACATGTTGTTACCTATCAACGTTGGGCGCCACTTTCATGATTATTTTATCCATTTAATTTTATGTCAGTTATAGTAGCATCGAAAAATAATATTTAGCACTGAAATAGACGCACTTGTGGTAACGTTGGGCGCCATTTTCTTATATGCCACTTTAGAGCCTATAAATTGGCATAAAATAATTTGATTTTTTTAATTTTCTATTTTAGGTGATCATGTTTCATAGTGGTCTCATTAATTAATATTTATACAGAAATAATTGCATTTTAGGTAACGTTGGGCGCCATTTTCTTATGTGTGTCTTCAGTACTGTGATAAAAAGCAAATGATTTTTAGATGTTTGTATTTTAGGTGATTATGTTCTGGTCTTTCGGGGTAAAAGTATTTGATAGAGGTATCAAAAATGTATATTTTATATTTGGCTTCTACTGTTATCGGTCTTCAGAGGAGATTTATTGCGATAAAATCATTTTCAAATTATGTTTTGGTCCTTTAGGCAAATATATATATTTTTATCGATCTCCAAAGGAATATTTAATATTGAAATGTTAGGTAACATTGGACGCCATCCGGAGGCTATTAATTTTAGGTTGTCATATTTTTGTCCTTCGATCGAATAATATTTGATAGCAATCTCAACAATGCATTTTTGGCATTGAAATATATATTTCAGTCAATGTTGGGCGCCATTTTTATATATGTATTTCCAGAGCCTATTAAATACGATAAAAATCTTTATGTACCGGAATTTGGTCGTTTGAGGAAGTTCTCACAAATGTAGGCAATTTTCTTATTCTCCTGTTACTCCTCTTGGGAGCATACAGCATCGTCATCTTATCCGATGAGATCATTGTTTTTATTCCAGCTAAGTAGAATATTGGTCTGCTGTAGCCTGTCCTATGTGATGGGGTTGCCATCTATCATTGCCTAGAAACAACGCCTTTTTGAATTTTTTTCATTGGTTGGGATCTTTTACTTATTTAGTGTTACCATTGTTGTATAGGCGGCGCTATCTCATCATATTCCTATTTTTGTCTTATTCTATGTTATATATTTATATTTATATATTGATCATAATTATGACTTATATCTGTTATTTCATGATCACAGATTCATATTCAGAATTTCGGGGAAATTATTAAAAAATTAACGTTGGGCGCCAAAAATCCGTTTTTCTCTTTTTTCCTTGAAGTTCAGTTTGTTGTGTGACACACATTTATATTTGTTCTCCTCTTTTCATATTTTAATTTTTAGTATTTGGTCCTTTGAGAGATCTAGTTTGTATTTATATATTGTTCATTATTATGACTTATATATGTTCTTTCATGTTCTCAGATGAATATTCAGTATTTCGAGGAAATATTATAATGTATTCAAATTTATTATTTATAAACTTGGAATGGTTGTAGTATGCTTTCGAATTGCATGTAGACTATGTTATGAGGTGATCCATTCGTGTACTAACATATAGCGTCCTCTTGAGACTTCTAGGGCAGCATTGGTAGATTCTATTGGTAAAAAATTGCGTTTACTTTGCTATTATATTTATTTAACACCATTATTTATTAACAAAAAATGCTAAGGATAGTCAAATGGACTATCAAGAAGCAAAATAAAATATTTTTAATGCTTTCAAATTTTAAAAATCCGATACAGGTATAATTCTCTTTTTGCAAAAGCTCTGTGAGTGGTTTCCAAAAGCTCACGTGTTATTTAAAATATTTTCTGATTTTTGTACTTATTTTTAAGGGTCTTGAGTTCCACATTTTGAAAATTTATTTTGCTGTTAGAAGTGTTGAAAATAATCTAAATTTCCGGAAGTTCTTTCTACAGTAATTGGCCTAAAAACCTTAATTTTTCCTCTCTTTAACATCGTATTGAGGTAGGTGGTATATATATTATTTAGGGTTCTTTAGTTCCAATATTTTGAAAATTATATTTTAAAATAATTCTTCTACCTCTCTTAACTTCTGCCACTATTAGTACCACCACAAATAGTTGCATTTGATTTCGGTTCCGATATTATCAATATGAATGATATGGTATCGGCCACATGTACCGTGAATAAGGGTGATACTCCCTTGGATTTATATTGGACCACAGCACCAGATCCCAGCTTGGGTGTTGGTCGTCTCATGACCAATGATGGTATTTTGATAACAAAGACCACACAGCGTATTAGTATGTTGAGCATTGAATCGGTACATGCTCGTCATAGGGCAAATTATACCTGTGTGGCGCGCAATGCAGCCGGAGTGGCCTATCACACTGCGGAATTAAGAGTTAATGGTGAAGAGAATAAGGGTTTTTTATAGAAAACATTTTTTGTTGTAGTTTTTTATATTTTTCTTAATCGATTTTGATTTTAATGTCTCTTTGTCACCCTTTTTCCCCAATTGCAATTCAGTATTGCCCCAAATTGTACCCTTTGATTTTGGTGAGGAGAGTGTTAATGAATTGGATATGGTATCGGCTTCGTGTACCGTCAATAAAGGTGATCTGCCATTGGATATCCATTGGACACGGAATGGTGGTCGTATTTATACCAATGATGGTTTGATCGTGACCAAAACAAGTCAACGAATGAGTGTTTTGAGTATTGAATCGGTAAGGGCCAGACATGCGGGAAATTATAGCTGTGTGGCAACAAATAATGCCGGGGTTACCAAACATTGGGCGTTTTTAAGAGTGAATGGTTAAGTTTTGAAATCGAAATACTTTCCTTTGTAATTTTTGATTAGAATTGAAAATAGTTTTGAAGTTATTTTTGTTTTATTTTTATTCTTGTTTTGAATTCCCCTTTTCCCCCCTGAAGTATTACCACAAATTGTGCCCTTTGATTTTGGTGAGGAGAGTGTCAATGAGCTGGACATGGTCTCAACATCGTGTACTGTAAATAAAGGTGATCTGCCTTTGGATATTTATTGGACTCGTAATGGCGGACGCATTTATACCAATGATGGTTTGGTGGTAATGCGCAATAATCAACGTTTAAGTGTTTTGAGTATTGAATCGGTGAGGGCTAGGCATGCTGGCAACTATACTTGTGTGGCCACAAATAGTGGTGGTGTAACAACGGCCTCGGCCATGTTGAGAGTTAATGGTTGGCAACACTAGAATTAAAAAAACATTAGATTTTCCAACTTCAGTTACTTCTTTAGTTTTTTTTATTAGTGAGAATAAAACTTTGTTTTTCTTCCCTCACTCCTCTCCGCAAAACAAGTTTTACCCCAAATTATGCCCTTTAATTTTGGTGAGGAGGATATCAATGAAATGGACATGGTTTCGGCTTATTGCACTGTCAATAAGGGTGATTTACCCATGGATATATATTGGACTCGTAATGGAGGTCGGGTCTTTAGCAATGATGGCGTGGTAGTGACCCGCACCAGTCAACGCATTAGTGTTCTGAGTATAGAATCGGTACGAGCACGCCATGCTGGAAATTATACATGTGTGGCCACCAACAATGCTGGGGTAACCACCCAGTGGGCCATGTTGGCTGTGAATGGTTAAAGAAGTTTTTCTATTTTCTAAAATTGTTTTGAAATAATTCTTTTTGAGTTTTTCTTTGATTTTTATTTTAATCCCACCAAAATCTCCCCCACGATATCTGAGAGTTCAAATTCAAACAAAATTGTAAAATATTATATTTCTAATATTTGGAATAAATTTTGTGGTCATTCGATTTGGTTTTAGTAGGTAAATATATAAAATAGTTGAAATTATAGTTGGTCCTTCGATTCGCTTGAAATCAATAAAATTTTAAAATTTTTTGAATGAAATATTTAGAATAAATGTTTGGTCCTTCTACTCTAGGTAAATTAAATTCTTTTTTTCGATTCGATTTTTGAATTCAGTATTTAGAATATTTTTTTGATTCAGGTTAACTGCTAAAAAGTAACATAAATCTGACGATTTATTTTGTAATTTTATTGGTCCTTCGATTTGATAGAATAATTCAGATTTTTAAATATTTTGGATCTTCGACTTGGTTTTAGTAGGTAAACTAAAAAATGGGATAAAAATCTGTTTTCATTTGAAATTTTGTTCTTCGATTCAACAGAAAAATGTAGATAATTGCATATTTTTTAATATAATATTTATTATAAATGTTTTGGTCCTTCGACTTGGTCTTAGTAGATAAACTAAAGGAAAAATAGTTATGGTCCTTCGATTCGAAAAAATGCCGATAATTAAGTTTTTTTTTTTTAAATTACGAATTTCTTATGGTCCTTCGACCATAAATTTGGTTCTTCGATGCAAAATAAAAAAAATCTTTGTCTTGGTTTCTGCTGATTTTTATTGTAGCATTTATTTCCTGAATTTTTTTAGTCCTTCGTCCCGGAAGGGTTTAACCTTTTCTTTCCGCTCTACAACAGGAGTTTCTTCATCCACGTCAGTAAATCCGTTTAATGAACGGCAACATCTAAAGACATTATTTAATCTAAAGAAACTAATTGCTCGAGAGCACAGAATAATCGGAACTAGAACCGATAGGTCCCTTTTGCAGTATAGTTCTTTTGAACCATTTCTTTAGAAAATGACCCAAAATGATATTTAAAGATAAAAAAGGTTTACATTCAAATTTGGTCCTTCGACTTCAATCTTTTGTTTTTCGATTTGCTGCAGAACCACACCTAAAACCGTTCGTTCCTTTTGAGGAACAGTTCCTATGAACTATACCTTCCGAAATTACCTTGGGGCCTTTTTTGAACTAGTTCGTTATGGAATGACACTTCGATGCTAAGTTGTAGAGCACGGATTAGTTGGTTTAAACAATAGATTTTTAGAAGAAGTTTAAAATATATTCTCGCTGTTGTTTTTTTTTATCGGAATGATTAGTTGGATTTTCTAGAATTTTTTTTTAGATGAAATAGGGGGTTTATTTTAGTTTGGCCCTCCGATCGGGTTGGGGAATAATAAACATATAATTTTTTGATCGTTCGACTATTGGAACTAAAGGGAGCATGATGTATGAAAAAGCGGGAATTAGTACGGATGGTTCCGTTTGCAGAATAGTTTTTATTAACTAGTTCATTCATTCAAGGTTGATAAATTAAAAAAATATAAAGTGTTGGTCCTTTGACTGTTGAAACAAAATGAAGAAGATGTATTACAGAACTGGAACTAGTATCGATGGGTTCCTTTCGCTGAATAGTTACATTGAACTAGTTCATTCCGAAGCGACTCTTCGATATAATTTGTAGCGCGTCTATTAGTTGGTTTTAGAATAAATGAAAAAAAAATTGTTGTTCTTTTTCTTGTAATTTAGTCCTTTGATTAGGTTGAGAAATTAAAATATATAAAGCTTTGGTCCTTCAATATTTCTTTAGGACATAAAATATATTTTTGGAGTAGACTTTAAAATTATGGTAAAGAAATTAGAAAACCTATTTGAATTATTATTGATCTTTGTTCTTTCGATTTTTTGATTGAATTAATAATTAATTTGAATAAATATTTTACAAGGCGGTTTTGGTCCTTCGACATAAATTGTTATTTCTTTCGATTAGTTTGCGTTTCTATAAAATGTTTGAGGAAATATTTTATATGTGAATTTATTTCACGTTACTCATCTCCTGGTTACTTAAGATACTGATTTGCGGTACTTCGTTTGAAGAGAGATATTATTCAGATTTTTGGTCCTTCAGGCTCTTGAAATTCTTCAATTACAATTTTCTGCAGTAGTTCTTTTGAGCAGAGATCTTCTTTCACTTATTTGGTCCTTCGAGCTGAAAGTTTCCCGGAATTTCTCTGCGGAAAAGTTCAAAATTCAATTCCACATTTAATTTTTTAATGAAAATCTTAAAATTTGTTATTGAAAATCCCTTAATGTCTTAAAAAATTAGTGCCACCGCAAATTATGCCCTTTTCCTTCGGTGATGAGCCCGTCAATACCGGTGAAAGTACCGGCATACAATGTATGATACAAAAAGGCGATATACCCATTAACATCAAGTAGACCTTAAATTCACGGCCCCTTATCAACAATGAAGAGGGTATTACAATACTAAAACTCTCCGCCAAAACAAGTGTTTTAAATATACCAAGTGTGGCGGAATATCATCGTGGGGTATTTAAATGTATTGCCGAAAATAAGGCGGGGTCGACGTTCTATGCTTCCGAGTTGAAAGTTAATGGTATTTTGAAAGGATAATAAATACATTTTTTTGTTTTAGAATTTATTATTATTGTGATTTCAAATAATTTTTTTTTGTTGGATCCCAGTCCCTCCCCAGATTATGCCCTTCTTTTTTGGTGATGAGCCCATGAATGTGGGTGATATGTTTGGGGCCCAATGTATGGTTATGAAAGGTGATTTGCCATTGAATATCTATTGGACCCTGAACTCACAACCCATTGTCAGTGGTGAGGATGGTTTCACTTTGATGCGTATGAATCCAAGGACAAGTAGTTTGAATATTATGGCCTTGGAAAGTAAACATCGTGGGGTGTATCAGTGTATTGCCAATAATAAGGCTGGTGATACCACATACTCGGCGGAATTACATGTTAATGGTTAGAAAGGCAAAACAAAAATATTAAAATAATTTTAAGAGATTATTTTTTAGATTTATTATTTCTTTATTTCTTTTTATTTTAAATTTTTTTTTTATTACAAAAATCTTCCCCCTCTTTGCCACAGTCCCACCCCAAGTCCTTGCCTTTAATTTTGGCGATGAGGTCTATAATATGGGTGATGTTTTCAGCACCACATGTGTTGTGTTGAAGGGTGATTTACCTCTGACCATCCACTGGACCTTAAATTCGGAACCCATAACATCGGGTCAGGATGGTTTTACGGTTATCAAAATGAATGCTCGCACTAGCTATTTAAGCATTGACTCCTTGGAGGCCAAACATCGTGGTATTTATCGTTGTATTGCCGTTAATGTGGCTGGTTTAGCTGAACATGCGGCGGAATTACAAGTATATGGTGGGTTTTCGATACTTGTAGACTCACAAAGAAAATACTTTTCTCACACATTCTCTCTGTAGTATTGCCTGCGGTACAAATGTTTTACTAATCCTTGATGTCTTCTTTAACCCAAAAATCTATTTTATACACTATAGAAGCTAACCAAAAAATACTAGGGTGTTGGGAATAATTTTGTGAATACATACACACAATTTTGTTTGTTTTGTTTTTTTTAACCGTGAAATTTTAAATAAATTGTTTGCTGTATTGCATTTCCAATAGCTGAAGAGCAAAAATGTTAATGAAACAAATAAATTATAACATTTTTCTTAAATTCTGTTCACAAAAATCAATTGCTGAATTAGTTTTCATAAATTAACATAAATTAACTTTTTTAATATTTCTACAAAAAAACCCTTGCTGAATTAGGTTTCCCTTAGCTGAATTGCAAAAATATATCAAAGAATTTAATTTATATTGACATTTAAATATTTTAACGACAAAAATCCTTTGCTGAATTAAGTTTCCCTTGGCTGAATTGCGAAAAATTATAATAAATCATTATAGTTTTAAATTATTATAATATATAAATAGTTTGCTGAATTTTGAAAATATTTCAAAGAAATTATTTTCTATTTAAATTTGAACATAATATCAACAAATATGGTTTGTTAAATTGCGAATAAAAATAATTACTTTGTTTATTTTTTCTGAGCTAAATGAAAATAAATAATAATTGCAATATTTAAAAAAATAAATTTCAGTATTTTCATTCAATTTGGTCCACAAAAATCGTTTGCTGAATTAGATTTCCCTTAGCTGAATTGCAAAACTATTGCAAAGAATAACAAAATAATGTACTAGCATTCATATAGTACATAAACCGTTTGCTGAATTAGGTTTCCCTTAGCTGAATTGCAAAAATATTATAGACAAAACACATAGTGGAATATTACTATTCATACTTTGCATAAAAAGGGTTTGCTGAATTAGATTTTCCCTTGGCTGAATTGCAAAAATTGTGCAGTATATCATAGAGTAGATTATTTTCATTAAATTATTTCAATTTTTTTCTTGCTGAATTGGGTTTCTTTTAGCTGAATTGCTAAATATTACAAAGGAATTATTTTTATTCATATTATCATAGATTTTCGGCCGAAAACCTTCGCTGAATTAGGTTTTTGTTAGCTGAATTGCAAAAATACCATAAAGAAAAAAATATTTGAATATTACTACTTATATCTTATATAAAAAGGGTCTGCTGAATGAGGTTTTCCTAAGCTGAATTGTGAAAATGTTACAAAAACTAAGGAAATATAATATTTGGCTTCATATATTTTCACAAATACCTTTGCTGAATTAGATATCCGGTAGCTGAATTGCAAAAATTTTACAAAGTAATTATTTTTACGTTCAATTTAACAGATTTTGCACAAAAAAGCTTTGCTGAATTAGGTTTCCGTTAGCTGAATTGCAAAAATATTGCAAAGGAACTATTTATCTTACGTTTTATTAAATTTTACATTATAAAACCTTTGCTGAATTAGGTTTATGGTAGCTGAATTGCAAACGTTTTATGTATAAACGTGAATTTTAATGTTATAATTCATATTTTGCATTAAAAGTCTTTGCTGAATTAGATTTCCGCCAGCTGAATTGATGATTTTGGTGAGGAAATCTAAAATTTGAATATTTAGGATTACAAAAATCCTTTGCTGAATAGAATCCAATCGAAATTTGCTTTGCTGAATTACATTAAAATAGATTTCTAATATAAAAAATTATTGCAGTACCTCCACAAATAAGTCCCTTTGGCTTTGGTGAGGCAATTTTAAATCGTGGCGAAGTCACGAGTGTGGTTTGTATTGTACCCAAGGGTGATTTGCCGCTAAATATCCACTGGACACTAAATTCGGAACCAATACAATCGGGTCAAGATGGTTTCTTGATAATGCAAATGAATGCTCGCACCAGTTATTTGAGTATCGATTCACTGCAGGATAAACATCGTGGCATATATCGTTGTGTGGCCATTAATATGGCCGGGTTAGATGAATATGCAGCGGAGCTGCAAGTTAATGGTGTGTTCTATTTAAATTGGAAAGCTTACTGAAGCTTTTAAAACATTTTAGAAAAAAGCTACTATGTTACTAACACTCTTACACTCTCTATCGTCTTTCGGATCTCTTTCTAAAAAGCTTTTAACGAATTTCTATAAATCATGGGTTTGTTGGTAAAAAATAGGTTTGGTTGTTTGTCAGAATAAAGGTAAGCATTTTAGGGCCTTAAAATATCAATTATTGCAGCTGAATTGAATTTTTAGGCAACTGAATAAGCTCCATATGGAAAATAATTAATTAAAATTGGTTCTAAATTATATAATTATTAAAGATTAGGCTATTCAGCTAAGTGAAACCTTGCTGAATTAAATTAAATATCTAAAAAAATAATTTAAATGAAAATAACAAATTTCGTGTATAAATATTTCCGTTTCACCCAAGTTCCTCCACAAATAAGTCCCTTCAGTTTCGGAGAGGAACCATTGAATCGCGGCGAAGTGGCCAGTGTTGTTTGTGTGGTGCCCAAGGGTGACTTGCCTATGGATATTTATTGGACATTGAATTCGGCATTGATTGTTACGGGAGAAAATGGTTTTAATATTTTTAAAATGAACAAGCGAACCAGTTCGTTGAATATTGATTCCCTGGAGGCTTATCATCGTGGAACTTATAAGTGCATAGCCAATAATTCGGCGGGATATGCGGAATATGTTACCGTGCTGGATATTAATGGTTATTTGTGGAATTTTTAACATTAATTAGATGTAGTTTTGAATTTCAATTTAATTTTGTTGATTTTTTTTTAATTTTTCCTACCTTTTCCCAAAAAAATCTAAAAGAAATTGAAAAAAGGTATGCCGAATTATGTTTCGGATAGCTGAATTGCAGAAATATAAATGAGAAATGCCGTATTACAATATTACCATAAATATTTTGAGTAAAAATGGTTTGCTGAATTAAGTTTCACTCAGCTGAATTGCGAAAATATTACAAAAAAAGTGCTGGATTTTGGTATTTTCGTCATAAATTTCACAAAAATGTTTTGCATACATATAATTGCATTAAAATTGTTTTTGCTTTAATTGTTTTTATCTTTCTTAGCTGAATTGCAAAACATTGAAATAAAATATTTTAGTGGATATTTCATTAAAATTGTTTGCTGAATTGTTTTTCATAATTTTAATAATTTAATAGATTTTGCACAAAAACCTTTGCTGAATTAGTTTTCTATTAGACGAATTGCGAAAATATTACAGAAAACCCCATATTAGAATATTACCATACATATTTTGTATAAAATTTGTTTGCCGATTTAGGGTTTCCTCAGCTGAATTGCAAAAATATAACGAAATATAATATTTTCCTTTATATATTCCATAAAAATATTTTGCTGAATTTGATTTTCCTTAGCTGAATTGCCAAAAATTACAAAGAAATAAGTTTAATAAAAGTTAACAGATTTTCCACCGAAAAAAAACGTTTGCTGAATTAGGTTTACAGTAGCTGAATTGGAAAAATCATATATGTAAAATAATATTTGAATATCATGCTTCATATGTGGCATAACAATTGTTTGCTGAATTATGTTTTCGTTAGCTGTATTGATGTTTTCTTCGAGAAAATTCAAAAATTCAAATATTTGGATTATAAAAATAATTTCCTTTCTCGATTTTTAAACTGAAAATCGTGGTAGTGCTATCAGTAGCAAAAATTTCCGCTTAATTGGCTAGCGGATTTATAAAGAATTTTTAGCTGAATTGTTGCAAAACTTCTTGAGATGTGGTATTTCAAAGAAATAAAAAAAAAATTGTTAAATAAAATCTTTGCTGAATTGCTAAAAGGTTAGACAAATTTAGCTGAATTGATTAAATTATTAAAATTTAAAAAATGTGGATTTTTTTTTATTTTCTAATTTTTATTCCTTCGTCTTAGTACCACCCCAAATAACCCCCTTCGATTTTGGCGATGAACCGCTGAATCGTGGTGAAGTTGCCAGTGTAACTTGTTTGGTTCCCAAGGGCGATTTACCGCTGGAAATTTATTGGACCCTTAACTCCGCTTTGATTGTTACGGGTGAAAATGGTTTTAATATCTTCAAAATGAACAAGCGAACCAGTTCGTTGAATATAGATTCGCTAGAGGCCAATCATCGTGGTACCTATAAGTGTATTGCCAATAATTCGGCGGGTTATGCAGAATATGTGACGGTCCTAGAAGTTAATGGTTAATAATAACATATATTTTTATAGTTTTTAAGATAAATAATTAAGTAGATTTTTTGTAAAATTTAATTTTTAAATTTGTTTTTGCCCCCTTCCTCCTCTCCCCCCGTTTTGATGTGTAAAGTCCCACCCCAAATTCAGGCCTTTAGTTTTGGTGATGAGCCTGCAAATACTGGAGAAATTTCGGGAGCCATTTGTATGGTACCCAAAGGTGATTTACCTTTGGAGATACGATGGACCCTAAATTCTGCACCGGTCATAACCGGTGAACATGGTTTTACATTGTTGCGCATGAATGCTCGAACAAGTTCTTTGAATATTGATTCGTTAGAGGCCCACCACAGGGGCACATATAAATGTATTGCCTCCAATAAGGCGGGTAGCAATGAGTATTCGGCGGAATTAGAAGTTAATGGTTTGTGGCATATTTTTAATTTAAAATTATTTAGAATATTTTTTTTTTGTTAATATTTTAATTTTTTTGTTAATTATTATTTTTATTTGATTTCATAATTTCCTCCCCACCCACCTCTGAACAGTACCACCCCAAGTATTACCCTTTAGCTTTGGTAATGATGCTGCCGTCGATGTGGGTGATATTGCCAGTGCTACGTGTGTGGTACCCAAAGGTGATTTACCGATGGATATTAAATGGACCCTGAACTCCATACCGATTGTAAATGGTGAAAATGATTTCAATATTTTGCGTTTAAATAAACGTACCAGTTATTTGAAT